CTGCACAGAGGGAGGCAGAGGGGTAATTTGTGCTGGTTTACTGCCAGCTGTCACCGGGCCCCATACGGGGAACTTAGAGGCGTCCCGCAAGTGTCTGTTTCAACTCGGCCTGACTGGCCGCGGCCTTTCGGTCAGGCACTTCATGAGGACACGTAGGAGCGTGCCTGCTCCTCTTCTGCAGGAGCAAAGGGGAAATGATGTGAGCCACGGGCTGGGGAGGGAAGGGCCGCCGCGCTGCCGTCTTCAGCCCTCGTCCATCTCGGCGTCCAGCGCCGACGCCGGAAAGCTGAAGCGCGGCTCACAAGAGTGGCCCGGTTAAAAGCTAGAACTGAGGGTGTCACAAGTGTTAAACCACCCTATTTACTATATGTGAAGGTAAAGCAATCTATATCCCCGTCGCCAAAGTCACCCGAGGCTTGCCTGTTGCTGACAAATGTGGATGGACAGATATGTAAAGATGATGCGTCATGAGCTCTGCTGATGAGTTTACAGCAGAAGCCTCTGAATTCACATCAAATGTGTCAAAGGGTGACAGAGCTGCATCACACAAACCCTGGCAGTTTAATTTGGTGTCGGCTATTAGTGTTGACTTTCAGCACTATTGCCGCTCAGTGTTTCTGCCAGCAAGGTGACATAGCTTCACAGATTGCTAAATTTCTTTGTTGTAAGAAATAGGGTTTGCTCACTGCCCAGGAGTCCTCTAATAGAGGAAATCCAGAAGGTCAGAAAACTGTTGTTCCAGGCTGCAGCGCTCCGTTTTGTGACCTAGACTTGTCATTACATTATTTTTGGTTAAGTGTTTGATTGTGTCACCACATGGAGAAAATGTCTATGTCAGACTGCTGTTAGTTTCTTAATTATTCTCGGCTGTTTGCGAGCTGAGTTGTCCATTCAAAGCCTTTTTGGTGGCAAAGTGGCATTTTTTAAATACTTTTTTTTCACCAAGTACTTTCTTTGGAAATGGTTTGGGGACTGGCAGTAAATCCAAAATGTAAGCGTTACAGTCCCCCCTTTCCCTATCCCTTCTTGTTTATTGTCACTGCTCCTTGCAAATGATTTAGAAAAAGAGGAATAGAGTGGAGCAAAAGGGAGGGAAGTGAGAAAGCAGGAGAGCAAATAACCTATAGTATTTGAAAATGGAGAAGGTTTGGGGGAAAAACACACACAAAGTAAAATATTTCAAAATGTATTATGTAAAGCAGTTTTCTTCGGCGACAGAATGCCGTGGGCAGAAAGAACAACTGTATCTTCTAGAAAGACTTAAAACGGCTCTTAGCAAATTACATTTCATAAAAAACGTGCAGCGCCAGGAGCCAAGCGCGAACGTGCGCGTACCCAGGCACCTCCTCCAGGAGCCTCCGCCGGAGAGGCGGCGGCAGCGAGGTGTCCGGCAACGAGGCAAGTCGCAAGTGGTAAAAAGCACCCGGAGAAGGAGGGACTCGGATATCAAGATTTGGGATAGTCCATAAATCCCCGGTTTGGGCGTCCTTCTGGCCGTCACCATCCTGCTGGCTGAGCAGCGCTGGGCGGCCGGGAGGCAAAC